GACAAAATAAATAAAAACAAATTTTGTCCAACAAAAGAACATTATTAGAAAACCTTACTAAAAAAATAAAATCTCTATTAGCTTTTGTAAGATCCAACATTAGTTAGGGAGATTAATATATATTGTCTTAGAAGGGACTAGATACATTCTCTATTAGACACGTTTAAAATCATGAGTCTATCTGTAGACAAAAACAGACATTTGGTACAGTTGGCTTAAAATGTTACAAATTATATCAGAGTCGGGAACTGGACTGGTGTGCCAACGAAAACATTGAACTCCCAAGTGGTGGATTGTAAGATCCTACATCGATTGGGAGAAGAACAAATGTTGTCTTATAAGGTACTAGATACTTATGGTTGTAAACGAACCACATGTTCAACGAATCATTGGTGAACCGCTCAACGAAAAATTTCTTTATGTTCGTTTATTTAATAAATGAACGAACATGAACAATGGTCTCATTCATTCATTGATATTTTTTTACATTTGTTTATTCATATAAATATATTTATATATTATGACATTATTAGGTAAAATCATTAATTAGAATTTCTTTTTTTACCCACTCCCCCAAGTTTACCCAATTTTTCATCTTGTTATGTTATTTTTTATGAATGAAATGATGAGTAATGATGATTGTTTTTGTCCATTGGTTCAGTTTCATTTGTTTAACATCTTAACGAACGAACATAAATAAACACAAACAAACACATCTTCTTAATTAACAAACGAACATGAACATAGAAAATTCCGTCGGTTTACAAATTTGTGTTTGTTCGTTTATTCGGTTAAGTTAAACGAACGAACATGAACAAATCTATGTTCATGTTCGTTGTGTTCGTTTATATCCATATGAATACCTCTGTATCAGGAACGTTTCAAGACCAAGATTTGATATAATTGACTTGGGATGTTACAATTTCGATTATCGAGTAATTCGAAAAATACTAAAAATTGAATAAACCAAAAACCAAGCCAATAATACTCCTAGATGAAAAGCATTCAAAAATATAATTCAATAAATAAAGTATTACTATCTCAACTACTATTTGATAATTTATATTATTGAACTTTCATAAAAAAATATCAAATGGTCTTTGTCCTAGCGGTATATGAATTATTGATTTTCTAAAAGGTCAAGAGTTCAAATCATACCAAAGGTATGTAAGTTTTTTTATTCTATTTATTATATATAAATATTATATACTTCAAAAACAAACTTTCATTTAAAATAATAAAACAATAATTAAGAGAGCAAATTGCAATTTTTGGTACTTGTGTTTTAGCCACTTCTTGGATTAGGTTTCCTATGGCTTTTTATTGCAAATGTGTCCTTGTGACATGCATATTTATTGGGTTTTGGTCCCTTTCACTAACAAAGATTAAAAATCCGTTAAATGAGATTTTTTTTGGTATTTTTATATTTTATTCTTAATATATATTAATAAGAGTGAATTACATATTTGGTCTCTCGTAAATATCTGTTTTTTGGTTTTCATCCCTCGATATCATAACATACACCGGTGGTCCAAAAATCGTGTTTCATAACCTAAATAATTCCCTCTTACTACCACCTTTAAATTATCTCTGTTAACCTTGTTATGTGCCTCTAACGGTGTTAGGGAGGGGGACTTATTTCGGCTACGAAACATGATTTTTGGATCACCAGTGTATTTTATGATTTCGCGAAAAACAAGTATTCACGAGAAACCAAATCCATAATTCACTCTAAAAGGGAAAGTCAAAAAACCAAATTGATTTATTTGATTTTGAACGATTATGTCATTGACAAAAAGTTTGTGCAAATAAATACTTGAACTTTTTGAAACCAAATAAATAAATTCTTTTATCAATAAAACTGGTTAATGTGGTAAAAGCATGATAAAGCTTTTTAAAAAAATCCAACAAACTTTCATGTTTTGAATAATTAAGTTCTAGACCAATTTTTTGAACTATTTCATAGACTTTCTAAAACCAATAGAAATCATTACTTAAATAGAGCCAATAAAATAAAATGAATATAATATTTTCATTTAAAGGTGAACATGGTACAAAACCAAGTTTTTTATTTTATTTTCATACGTACTATATATCAACCAATTATAATTAGTATATAAAATCATATGTCATGTATCAATTAGTTTTAATTGATACCAACTAAGGGTCGAGGGGCCTAAAAGGTATCACTTAACTTTTAAAAGTGCTTTGGAATATTGAAATTACAAAGTTAAAAAAGCAAATTAAATATTTTTATAACACAAAAAATGGGATAGGAGTTGCTCGTAAAGACGTACTTCGTTTTCTTCTCCAAGACTCCAACAGATTTCAAATTCCTATCAAATGTCGTTCTTGTCTTGGTATGGTTGTGCTCGTCGTTGTCCGTAACTTTTCATACCCTGCTCGTCTCTCTAAGATCCAACCGTTGCACCCTCTCTCACTCTCTTAGGTTTTGACCCAAAAACCCTAACTAAATTTTATTTTTGGCCATTTAATAAACGACGTGAAAAGTATCACGAGATATTGAGAATAATTTGTACGTTCTTTTTTTCTTGTTAACGTGGTACTATTTTTCTTATTGTTTTTATAAAATAAGAATTAATATTCATAAGATTGTAGATATTATTGTGTCATACAATCATATAATCAAGTTCAATTTAATGAATGCATTATTTATGACAAATTTAATTAATTTACGGTGCAATAAATATATTAAAATATCTTATATGAAAGATGGACATTGAAAGCATTAAATATTTGAAAGAAAAATATGGTTTCTTTTAAGTCAAAGATACATAAATGATTTTATAGATTGATTACTTATTAAAATATTGTATTTGGTTGATCATAAACTAGTTGATTTTTTAAAACCTTACTTAAAGCAATGTTTCTTTAGAAGCTTTTTTCAGCTACACTCAATATATTAACAATTAACTGTTTTGAATTAGTATTAGTCCTATTAAGACGAACGATCATGTGAGAATAAGAGTCATGTGAGAAGTGTAAGAAATGGTTTGTACCATTAATAACTTAATTTTAATCCCAAAACAACTCATGGATTGCACTTTAGAATTATTGTTGATCGATCTAGTGATTCTCTTTAATTAGTTATGATTGATCAAAGGTGGAGATATATTTTTATCATTCTCACTGTGACTTTCATTCTCATCGGAACCCAACCCGTCTTATTAATTGTTTTTTATTATTTAATGGAGTTGCTCAATCAAGATTCACATAAGAGCTTTATTATTGTTTCTCTGGTATCTTTATTTACATTTTTATTCTCTCTCCATTCGGAACAAATAAAATGATAATAAAGATTTTATTTTACATACCTAAAATATTTATTAATTATACTTTGAGTTAATTGTAGTTTTCAATCTCTTGGATTTAAGGGTTTGCTGTTCCTAAGAGTTGGTAACTGTGTTACATAGGTTGATGAGAGACCCTAAACAAATGTAACATTCATTTCCAATTTTTTTGAGGTTTAACATGTTAAGGAATGGCCTTACCCGTTCCTTGAGTTCTTGGTGGTGGTAATTAAGATCCACCACAATGGTAAAATCTCCAACAACGTCACTATTTTCCTCCGTGTTTCATTCTGAACCTCCACCATGCTACTCGATATGATGTTGCCATGAAGATCCAGAACTAATCGATCACTCCTTCTACCACCATCGTTGCCATGACTTTGCTTCCACGACTGTCCTCCACTAGTATAGTGATGGCCAAACCACTGGGATAGGCAAAGAACCGACCCAGCCCGGTACCGGTTATGGTTTTGGAGGGTTTCAAGGGATCAGTTATGGGCCCGGCCCGATTTTTAAAAATATAGCCGTTATATGATCGTTTTTTTGGTCTTTTTTTGCTTTCTAAACGCAAATATATAAGTGTCATGGTTGAAAGATTTACATACTAACTTACAAAACGCAAAAAAACATTCACAATTCTCGGTTTCTGGTTAGATTTTGTGATTTCGACTCGTATATTTTAAAGTGTATTTAAATCACTCAATTACAAATTTTATAATGTATTAAAAAAAATTAAAAATATTTTTTTTTTGCTGGGACCGGGTAACCATAACCGGTTATAGGAATGCTTAACCGAGCTTAGTATTTTCGATCGTGACCGGTTTTTGACCATCATTATCCACTTACTAATACTTTGCAACATCTCTCATTGAGCTCAAGAATTAGGTTTTTAAAGATTTAGGGGTTCTAATTTAGATTTTAGGGTAATTTCTTTTTGCTTTAGCTTTTTCGATATTCGAATATGGATTTTGAATTTTTGTGATGAATTTACATGGATATGTTGTATATGTTCATGATGTTTGGATTTGAATTTCCACGTTTTCTTTTTTGTTTTTAAAGGTTTCAAGGTCTTGAAAATTTATGTCGCGTTTCATTTCATGGAATGGTTTTGAAAGATTTGAAATCTTTGTTGTGTTTGGTTTATAGGGTTTGGAATGAAATTGAATTTCATTCTTTATAAATTATTTAAGAAAACAAATTTTAAACAATTAAACTACCTCTTTATTAATTGATTATTACAAAACAAATGTTATTTTTCATAATTTAAAACATTATTACATACAACTTCTACAAAATCCAATGAAATATTAACCACCTCCAATGGGATTTCAAACTAGAATCCACGGATTTCAATTCCTTTAAATTAAACATGGGAGTGGAATGAAATTCAATTCCAAATCTGCAAACCAAATATGACCTTAATGTTTCTAGGTTTACAGGTTTAAAGATGATATGAGTTTTCTTTTGGCAAAAGAGTTTATTACCTACCGACAAACCCCAATCAGCCTCACACTAAACTCGTCTCCAAGGACACCAATATGAGGAAACATTTTTTTGGCTCACTCAACAGCTTAGGCTAGCAAGCGGGGGCCTAGATCAAACCCAGTATTTACTCCACCCCTTTGTCAACCGAGCTATACGTTAGAGGCCAAGATGATATGAGTTTTGAAGACAAATTAAATTCATAAAAAAGTAATATAATTTGATATATATATATAACCATCTATACTTTGTTCTTGGGACTTTTGAGTAAAGCCTTGGTTTATATTATCACATCTTGCAAGAAACTATAAATCTCATTTGCAACTAAATTGGGGTATTCTTCATGTGGAAGAAGGGCACCTGAAACCTCAACATATTTGCTTACACCTTTAGCTTCTCTAAGAGCTTCCATTTCTGCTTTTGATCTCTTTGGTGCACCCGAGGTCGATACCACCAACACTGCTAATTTACCTTCTAACCCTTGGAAAAGTTCGATAAATTCTTCACGGCTTTTCACCGGGTCAAGTAGACCCGTCAAAAAAGCAGCCGGGACATATCGGGCGCCTTTCTGTTTCGTCAGTTCGTATCTGCTCTCGATCATGCCTGGTGTCACGTTTGTGGAATCAGCGTACACATGGGATTTATATTGGGATTGGATTGATTTCTTGTTACTGACTAGAACATTGTACATCATCCAACCTACAGCTGGCGCCCTTAACGTCTCTCTCAGGAGTTCGTATCTGTGAAATACGTTGAATAAGATCAAGAATTTGAATATATGATGATATGCCACTACAACAAAAATCGGCTTCTACAGAACCCCAAACATGTCTAAATCAATGTCTTGATACACTGCCTAAGTTTATAGGACCAAACAAAAGATGATGTTACAACGAGTTGATAGAACATTTTTGCCTATTGTAACAATTTAGTCTTTTAAAGTAGTGTATTATGACATTTAAACATATTTGTCGTCCTAATAAAGCTGATTTCATTGTAATGTGATGTGTTTGTGTTTGGGTAAAGAGATATGAACCTCGATTCTGTTTTGGAATCACGTCCGAATACAATGGGAAGAGGACCAGACCAGGTGGGAGCAATAGCGGCAATGGCGGTTGGTTTGACCAAACCCTTTTTAGCAGCACGGACGGCTATAGTGGCGGCATGGCCTCCTCCAACAATGACCAAATCTTCCGCTGCATTCCAGTACACAAGATAGGACAACAAAGAATAGAGCTCTATAAGTCAAGCAGATATGACCAGCCAAAGTGCCATAATCAATCTACATTTACTTCCATCTAAATCATCTGGGGAAGTTCAAATGAGAATCATAAATATTTATGTAAACCTTAGAACCAACTATATCATGTATTATTCATAATGAATAACCCTACGTATTGATATCATGCTTTTCATCATGAAATGAATATCATGCAATTTCATTATGAAGTAGGTTCAGTGATGAATATTTATCACAACCTTCATCATGGATAATGCATGAATAGTTCGTTTTCATGTTCTCAAAATATTTACGGTTCTCATTTGAACTTACTCCATCAACCCAGTGCAATAAACATGAATGTAACACCTACCCAGGGAGCTTATAGGACTATCTGGTGCAAGAATGAAGTCAACAAGAAATGATTCCATGATATCTGCATTGTATTCTAGCTTTGGCCGATCAGAATAACCAAGACCAGGCCAATCAACAATGGTGGCTCGCCAATTAACATTCCCAGATCGTTGAATGATGTCTTTAGCCACCAATCTCCATTCTTCCACAGTGCTAACATCAGAAATGGTGGGCATCATGAGAATATTCTTGCTCGGTCCATTACTTTCATCTCCATGCTCTTCATAGTGAATTTTGATAGAATTATCCCTGAATTTCCATTGCCAACTGCTAGTCTGAAAAAATCAATCATGATCAACTGGTACATAAGTACGTGTTAACCCAAAAATGATCACTAGACATCTGCCCAAGTTTGAAATTCAAGTTTCCAGCCTTGCACCAGCAGAAATACCCAAACCAAACATATTCAGTATATCCCGTCCGAAGGTAAGATGTACACAGACCTGACCCCTACCCCAAGGAATGGAGTGGTTGTTTCCGTGTAGACTCCCACCAACAGAAATACCCGAAGTGCACAAACATCACCTCATTTCCTTGAATCCGTGGTCCTAGCCCGGCCCCCAAAAAGAAAAAAGACTTGGAAAAGTTCCTAGCCAATGTCGAATCTGACTTCTTAAACTAATCACAGAAACAACCCTAGTTTCCAAGTTATACATACTTTAATATCCAGAGAGTTTCTAAATGAATTTTACTAAGCTATTCCGCACCCTGTATCCCATGGAAATTGCAACAATTTTCCAACATCTCCTTCTTTTTGCCAACCTCTTAATTGAATTTGAAAGTATTTACTTGCCAATCTTCACCATTACAAAAGTTCCTATCAATGAAGGACGTTCAAGACATGAGATTGTCCTTGATTGTTTTTTCTTGGATAACCGTGCGTGTTCATATCAGCTTGAGTGCTAACGGCGAAAAGAATCCCCAATAGCCCTAAGGAGGATCAAACGGGTGACCTATGGAAATTCAGGGATCATTCAGAATTCTAGAAACTCTCAAATGTGATCATTTCTTCAGTTACAAGTACCAAATCGGAGAACATTAACATCTATGTGGTCCATCTATGAATCGGGGGCCTAATTTCTTCAGAGAAGAACAATTTTACCATTCATAGAATTTTTTTAATTTTCAAATTTGGCTAAAAAAATTGAAGACATCCGATTACCTTCAGCTTCAAAATGGAGCCAGTACACATAGGTGAGAAGGTTTGACAGTAACTACAACAATTGTATCATCATAATATACTAAAACACAAAATTCAAGTTTTTAATCGACTTAAGAATGGCATCGACAACTAACCTTTGATGAAACAGATGATTTATCAGTTGAATAATGGACAATTGTTGAAGCCGTAACAGTGAGAGATTTGGTACAGAGATTGGGAAATCGAGAGAAAGTGGTGGGTCGTGGGATTTTGGTGGAGAAATTGAAGCATAAGGATGAAGCAGAAAAGATGGTAGTGGAAACCATTGACATTGCAAGATTGAAGTAAAATCTACAAGGAATTGTGGAGATATTGAAACCTAAAGCTCGTTATTATGGTTTCATGACCACAAGAAACAACATAGACGTGTATTTATGTGGAATACAAAGCGCTGCTACAATAATTTCTTTTTATATTATACATGAAAACTAAGGGGGCTGTTTATCGCACATCATCTTATCGGGTAAGAGCGATGCGAATGATGAAGAGTCTTACCCGGTAAGTGAATGACGACTCTTACCCGGTAAGTGAATGACGACTCTTATCCGGATAAGTGCTTATCCAGTAAATTGTTGCATTCGATATGTTTTGATGTACTAAAATCTTACGCATCAAAATAAATTATAGTATGAACTCTTATTAGTAAGCGCTTACCGGATAAACATTTAAGTAAACGGCCTCTAATTTCACGACTCAACAAATTTCAAACCAAAAAAATCATCAACAAGGTCTACGTATCTGCAGTTGAGCTGGTAACATTTGATGAAATGAAGTCATGTTTATAAGAATGGAACGACAAACTTGACATTCATGTAATCAACAACATATTGTCGATTAAATGAGTAAAAAGTATGAAATGTCACTTTTGTTACATCGATTAGAAAATTGTATTGATACACTAAATAAGAAGTAAGACAAATTCGATTATATTTTAATGCATTTTATCTATAACTCATAACACAAATTAGCTTTAATTTTTATTATGAATAATACACTTTCAAAAGTTTATTTTGCTAATCTCAAACATTTAAGTATTGTTACTCAATTTTTTTTTGGAAATAAGGCGTATCACTAACAAATTTATTAAAATAAATAATAATAATAAATACACTTTAATATTATTATTTTGTTGTTTTTATATAAAATTATGTTTAAGATATATATATGGTTGGATTTTTCTTAAGACTCGTAAGACCAATTTATGTTCATTGATCAACTTTATAAGCTAATGATCTAATGGTCTAAATTTGCACGATGACAATTTTGTGATTATTAAGAAGTCTCGTGACAATTTTATAATTATGAATATTGAGATTGTGGATATAATCCAATGATTGTGAATTGGTTTTACGGGTATCACGAAAAACATAATGTTACTTTTTTTATTATGATATTATTTTGTATTTAGTCTATGAATTGGATCCAACCCTTTGAAGACGGCATTGCCTCCTTTATGGATCCTCTTTTAAAAAAAATCTAACATAATATGTATCAAATGTTTATTAAAATGGGGAGGGTGGTTAATCTAATAGACTTGGGATAATGTAAGACATAATTTTTTCAGGAAACCTCTTATACCGCATAAATAACACTAAACTTTCATAGCATAACATTTTGAAGGCAAACCTTCATAACTTTAAATGTACAATGTTCTTTGTCCTTTCATGATGTTTTGTTGCGAAGTTTCAGTGTTACTTTATGTTCCCATGAGTCTCATGAAAATAGACTGGTTTTACGTGAAACAAACTCTAATATAATGTGTCAAAGGTTTTCAATGGAACAGGAGGTCGATAGTGGTGGTCGAAGCCTGTAGCAAGGAACAGTAATGAAATGAAGGTTCATTATGGTACAAGGGGGACTTTGCGATGGGGTAAAAGGTGTTGGTTTTTTTATGCGAGTGAAGAAGATAAAAGTTTTTGTTGGAAAAGGTAATCAAAGTTAGCGAAAGGGTTGCAATAGAGAGAAGCAGAATAGCTGGTTACGAGGGGTTAAATTGGTGGCTCGGGTAAAGGAAGAAGGTAGAAGACGACACATAATGACACATATTCTTTAACGGTGTTAATACAAGGGACCAAAATTGTAAAAAAATGCAAACCACAATTAACAAATTCAAAATAAAAAACTGTAAATTTAGGGGTGTTCAAAAAAACCGCCAGACCGCTTAAACCGGCCGAACCAAGTCAAACCGGACCGTTTTTGGCGGTTTGAGCGGTCTGGCGGTCCGGTCTGGTTTGAAAAATAGCTGAAACCGAGCGGTCTGGTCGGTCTGCGGTTTAGACTTTTTTTTGGGCGGTTTGGACCAACCCGACCGCCATATATATATATATTTTTTTAGTATTATAATTATTAAGCCCAATTAAATGCTCAACTTTAATTTATACCTTATGGGCTATTAGCCCAAACATAAAGCCTTATCCAAAAAGATTTCCTAAATCCCCTAAATCTAAATCCCTAATTCGGTAATTCCTAATCCAATAATCCACCTCTATTTCGGTATTTCACTATTTTCTAATCGTCGCGACGTTGCCTAATTCATCGAAATCGAACAAACTTGCCGACTTGCCGTTGCTGCTTGCCGGATTGGAAAGTAGAAATGACGGAGAGTCTGTATCTGTCGCCACTTCACCACTGCGTCTGCCGTATGCCCTAGTCTAGCTGTCGTTGCCGACTTGCCGTCTGCCCTAGTCTAGTAGCTTGTCGTGGAAACGAAAGCGATGAAACATAAGTCTAAATCCCTCAAGAACATATTTGTAAACGAAAGTGAAGAACATATTTAAAGCCCATTAAAGACCCAAACCGCCTAAACCGGTCAGACCAGACCGCCTTTTCGTGGTCTGGTTTGACCGGTCTGGGCACTTGGTTTCAAACCGCTCGGTCTGGAAATTTCACAAACAGCCATTAGGGTTTGGTTTGTGGTCTGAGGGCTTAAACCGCCCAAACCGGACCGCGAACACCCCTAACTGTAATGACCAAAAATAAGAAAAATAACAAACCACATGGACCAAATCTGTAGATTAATCTAAAGTTATTTCGTCAAAATACCAATAATAAAAAAAGTAAATGAATCTGAACCGTTGAGTAGAAGCATAGAGAGCCGTCAGATCTAGGGCATCGTCAGAGGAGAAAGGGTTTAACTTCCCTCTGCTTAGGAAACCCTAGAGCCTCCTTCCGTTCGGCCATAACAGAGAGAAACTTCCTTCCACAGAGATACTCTATCTGTTTCGAAGATGGTGCAGCGTCTCACCTACCGCAAACGCCATAGCTATGCCACCAAATCTAACCAGCACAGGGTCGTCAAAACCCCTGGTAAACCCTCCTTCCTACCTTACACCTACTTTCAAACGGCCAGTAACTCGATCGTGGTCACGTGAATGTATAATATCTTCTTGATTTGATTGATAACAGGTGGAAAGTTGGTTTACCAGACCACAAAGAAGAGAGCTAGTGGTCCTAAGTGTCCCGTTACCGGCAAGAGAATCCAAGGGGTAATGCAATTTTTACACTTTCTTTTTAGTTGTTCGCATCTTGTATGTGCAATTCTGGGTTTAAATCGGGTTTCATTGCAATCCGCGTTCAATTTCAGTGTGGGTCAACTGTTTGTAGTTTAAGATTTGCTAGTGATAGTGATGGATTTGAGTCTCTGATTTTCTGGTACAATTTTAATATTTTGTTGTTAGATGTTGATTGTAAAGTAGTTTGCTCATTGGTGGAATGGTTTCGGGTATTTTTTAGAATCGATGTCATTTGCAACAATAATGCTTGTAATCTTCACTTTATGGATCACAAGCAACATCTATTGGAGTATGTTTAGTCAAAATTGTATCTTATTCTCATACTTTAGGTTTATTGCAAATTTTAAACTTTGCTTCTTCATTATATCATGCCCAATATCATGTTTTAATCACATATAGAATAAACAGCAGGGTTTGAAAGATTTAGGTGGATAGTCTCTGAATGAATTCTCTAGCTAAACCCATGACACCTGCTTAGCTGTTTTGATATTGAAGGTGAACTTTTTTTCAAAGTTGTGTCTATCACATAATAATCACTACACTAGGGTCTGAAAAGATTTAGATGGATGATTTCTGAATAAATTCTCTAGCTGAAGCCATGAACCCTGCTTAGCTGCTGCGATATTGAAGGTTGTTTTTATCTTTGTTTTCATTCATCTTCATTTAAGGTAGTTGTCTTGTCCATGTTCTTTTTCTGGCTGTCATGTTGGTGATTGATATCTTATTGTTAGCTAAAGACCTGAAGACTGGTTAGTTTGCTTGCACTTGCCACCCCATAATATTAGTGCCATTTCTCTGTTCATCAAGGCCATTATCGTCAACGTTGTCGGGCTTACAATGACAGTGATTTGGTTTTGTAAGCAAGTGTTTATAGATTGGATGATAGTAGGGATGCTGATGACTTGACCTTAGTGAATGTCAGTTTCATAGACAAGTGGTAATCGTCAGGTGAAGAAGGATAAATGGTACCGTCAACCTTTTCATTTACTTGTAAATTACCTGGTACGGCTGGGGAGCAAGTGTGCCCTATCTGATAATGTGTTCTGCTATCAACTTACTCTGCTTGTTTCTTTTATTGATCTGCACCAAAAACAAATTATATTATTTATCTCTCTGTGAAGTGTTTCACTTAAATTGGGTTAAAAAATGAAAAGGAAGTGTATATTTTGTTATAATTATATTTTCATGTAACTTGTACCTAAATGTTGAATCGCACAAAAATAGGATCGCCCCTCATCCTGGCCCAAATGTTCATCTTCATGTCTAGAGTCTAGACTCTAGACTATGAAAAAGATGCAATATTTGCCTTCAAACCTTGCTTATTTAGAAGATTTTTCATATGTGTAATTAGCTATTCAAAGGTGTGTTCTTTTGATATTTTTTAGTATTAGTGCTCTTTAGATTATGACCCTTTGTCAATTCTTGGTTTTGGTAGCACCTAATAATCGTACAATAAGGTCATATAGCATGGTGGTTTATAATCTCGTCTTGTGAAGGATCTCACCTCTAAATGGATTGTCTAATTGTATGCAGATTCCTCACTTGAGGCCAGCTGAATACAAAAGATCCAGACTATCAAGGAACAGAAGGACAGTCAACCGTGCCTATGGTGGTGTGCTATCCGCTGGTGCCGTTCGGGAAAGGTGTGTGGAATCTTTCTTTGATGGGCATGTGAAATTTGTATATCTTTTTCCACTTTGCCAATGTTTCTTATCTTATGCTTTGCAAACTAGCCATTGGCTGATCAGTGTGCTGTTTGCTGATAAACTAGTTGTTAGTTGATAAGGTAGCTGTTAAACCAGTTATATTTGTAAAAACTATCTGAATAGCTCGATGATAGTAAACATGGTGTGGAATAACGATTGTGTTGTTGCAGGATCATCCGAGCATTCTTGGTTGAAGAGCAGAAGATTGTGAAGAAGGTATTGAAGATTCAGAAGACCAAAGAGAAGGCAGCTGGAAAGAGTTGAGAGAGGGGTTTACTAGTACTGAAATTTTGACTTCAACAGAATGATTATAAGATGGGAACTTATGGATTCTTGTGGAAGGTACTTGATCGAATTTGAATTCGAAAGAGCTCGTTATTGTTAGTTTTGTTTGGTTTTTTATATTTACGTTTTCATACTCTTGGTTTCGGATCTTCGATTATATGAATGTGTTGCCATGATCTGTTAAGTTCTCTTTTCATCAAATCTTATGTTTGCTGACTTATGTGTGGGTTTTTTGGGTAATGTAACAAGAGTTGTGACTTTTGAGAGTTTGTGTTTCATAAGTTCAAAAGTTTCACCGACGGAATGCCCCGTAACATCATTATGTAATATTAAATTAAAAAAACAATTGTTATATATTCAAACTATACAATATTAAATAAATTTAACCATGGAAAAATGGTTTAATTTCTATTTCATAAAGTAAATGTATCAGGATTTGATGCAAAAGCAAAATGTTACAAATAACAAGCATTATGTCCATTAATTATTGTTTGTTATGGTATCTTTGGCAGCGCAGCTAAGCTATGCCATGCCATGTTAAACTCTTCTTTAAAATAGAGAAAAAATGTAACATAAAATGCTCTTAGATTCCTACATGTCAAGTTTCAACTTGTTTCCTTTCTCACCTGTTGATCCAAGAAACGAAGAAAATTTCATAATGAAACGAAGGAAATTTCATAGTGTAACAAAGAAATTAAAAGCTTATTAATCTATCAGTACACATGGCAAACCCAAGATTTTTGCCGACTAGGAATGAGAGCACCTTAAATTTAAGGTGGATCAAAGATTGACAAAGTTGCACAATGTTTTTTCGGTAAATTCCGTATTTTTGATGAGTTTTTTTAAAAGCTTTTTAGTTAATTTTGAGAAGAAAAAAATCGATTTTCTTGTTGATGTCTTTTGTCTTTCAACCCTAACCTGAATTTTATTTATGAAAATCAGTTGCTCAGTGGGCCTTTCATATATCCATCCACCCGATTACAAATATTTATAAGATTGATTATTGTTCACGAAAATCTTAGGGAACAGTTGGTTTAGGTTGGAGAATGACTTTTCATTTCTCTTAAGTATAATCTGGAATGAAAATTGGTTTCTTTTATTCACATTTTCAGTGATTATTGCTTAATACATATTTATAAAAACATTCCCTATAAAACTAATTTAGATAGTTGATGATTGCTTAAACATTCTGTTAAGTTAAATATTGGTTGCTTTTGAAGGGGTAGAGGCGAGAAAAGTAGAATGGGGTGAGTCAGATATTTGTAAAAAAATCTGTCAAGAATGGGATTCGAACCCATGCCCTTTCGGACCAGTACCTGAAACTGGCGCCTTAGACCAACTCGGCCATCTTGACTTGGTGATATATATTTCTAATCAATTCATATTTTACTTATTTTATTCGATAAAAAAACTCACACTTTACCAACATAACACCATTAAAAAATTATTAAATTAAATACAATTTTAAATAGCAAAAAAGATATCTGATAATTCATAGTTTATTACTTAATTCTGGAGTAAAAAATACATTTGATTATGCTAATTAACTTATTTAATTACTATCTTAATAATTGGATTCCGAATAATTTACATTGTTTTTATCACAAGACCAATTAATTGAGTATTTATTTAAAATTAGCATAGACATAAAATACAATGTTTGATTCTTATTTTAAAAATAAAAATGTAATTAATTTGGAGATGATTTTAAGTAGGGCTGCAATTTTCTACCAACAGAGACAGAGACAAAGACGGGGACTCCATTCCATCCACACCAATGTCAATCATGATCAAATTCCAATCTGTAATTACCTTTGTTTATTAGGATCGCTTGATTCCCCTCTTCTCAATTAGTTTATAACATAACCATAATCACAAATCACATGTAAACACACCACCCACAAGATCAACAATCCGCCTTTCCTCCGGGGATGTATCAAGCGATCATCTTCTGATCACCCGCCGGATTTCCATTATTTTCCTTCTCAACATCGGTAAGGTTCCATTTTTCTTTATCTTCTTCGTTCTAATCATTCTTTTGGCGGACCAGAAATTCCTTATGAATTCGCTTTACCCAACTTCTTGTTTTTTTTTTTCCTTTTCATATCCATCCAAAATATACAATCTTTCCCTTTATCTTGATTCAGAATTCCGCACTCCGTACAGTGTTTGTGTGTGTGTTTTTAATGTTTGACACACCTCGTTACAAGTTGAAGATGTGTGAAAGATAAGTTTCTTCTTTCTTGGTAACTGAAAACAGAAAGATTTTTCGATTCTTTAAGCTTTGTTCGTATTAACTAATTTGCCCACTTGAAAATTTCATCATATATTTGCAAGACAACTTGATTTTTGCAACTTATCATAATAAAAAAGAGGGTAAGACTTGTGAGAGGTATTAGTTACAGGGCACCGTTAAGCACGTATGCTTCACGGCTATTTAGTGCTCGACCAAATTACTCAATGATGGACCAAGTTTATGTTGACTACTGTTTACCTTTATACTGGTAAATGCTCTTTGTTGGCTGATTGGAGATGTTTATTTAAAGGCTATATGAAGTTAAAGAAGAAGTGATGCTTTCAGTTTGAGTGATTTTATCAATTGAATGGGGGAAAATGAGTGTAGTTTATGTAATGCCCATTGATGACCAATGTGTGTTTGTACAAAAGTGGAGTAATATTATGTTTCAGATACGATGATGTGGCATATCAGCTTGAGTCGGTATATTAACTCTCTATTCCATGAAGATTCAATTGTATCTATCTTGGATGTCTCATGGAAAATGCAACTTCTCAGTTTCTTTCGAGATTTACAAGCTAGAATGGATGTGGATGAGCGTTGGAAGTAAGAGGCTATTTAGGTGAATGGCCTTGTCAAAAACTGAATTTAAGAATCTAATCCTCTAGTGTATTTCCATGTTTTACGGGAGCTAAATTTTTTTAGAAGGTTATGCTTCTAACTGAAAACTCGTTTAAGGTCATTTATCCACAGGACCCCGGAATTAAGCACCAAAACTGAAAGGAATATTGGTTATGGAAGTGAAAAAGTTTACCTGTTTGCTCATATTCATAACTACAACTCATGGACACCCTTTATTTGTTCTCAACATCCCACTATCTTGTGATTTTCTAGAGAGCATTCAAGAAACTTGACTAACAATGTAGCGGTCAAACGTTTTGGAATTTCCATGGTACAGAGTATTTTGGCCATTTATTTGAAGTGGCTAAATACTAGCAATTGTTGTTGCATATAATTACGTGAAACACCCCATGTATCTTAGGAATTAAACCAGCATTCTTTTGTTCAAGGAAACAAAATGTATTTTCTACGCTGTTCTCTATCAGTTATTCAGGCAAGTAAAGATTTTGATCTTGCAGAAAACCCATATCGCTAACATGATTTCATCATGTTCTTTGTGTCACTTAGAGAAAGTTGGCATTTCAGGGGCATGAGGCTTGTTTAAACCAACCTTGAGGTCTAACATTTCTGTGTAGCAATATTTTGATCATGTCAGTGAATTTTGCAGATCAATAATGGCAACCAAAGGGAATCCAGGAGACAACAGGACTAGGAGATCTTTTTCTGTATTTATAGTATTTGGTTTGTGTTGCTTCTTCTATCTCTTGGGTGCATGGCAAAGAAGTGGTTTTGGGAAGGGGGACAGCATAGCGCACGAAATAACAAAAAATGCTGACTGTAGTGTCATTTCCAATTTAAATATCGAGACTCATCATGGTGTTGGAGTGAAGAACCCTGATGATTTACGATCAGAAAGTAAGGTTTTTCAGCCATGTGATGACCGGTTCATCGATTACACACCTTGTCATGACCAATCACGTGCAATGTCTTTCCCTCGAGAAAACATGGAGCATAGGGAGAGACATTGTCCTTCTGATAACGAGAAACAACACTGCCTTATTCCAGCCCCAAAAGGGTATGTGACCCCATTTACATGGCCCAAAAGCCGTGATTATGTGCCATTTGCTAATGCACCCTATAAGAGCTTGACAGTTGAAAAGGCAACTCAGAATTGGATACAGTATGAAGGCAATGTTTTCAGGTTTCCAGGTGGAGGAACACAGTTTCCTCGAGGGGTGGATGCATATATTGAGCAAATGGCTTCTGTCGTCCCAATAGGCAACGGAATCGTTAGAACTGCTTTGGACACTGGCTGTGGGGTAAGGGACTGTTTTAAGTTTGATTTTTCATTGTGAAATATGATATAATGTGTTTTATTTGTGAGAATATGTAGAAACCCCAAATTACTCTCCAAAAGATCCCTTGAGGAGAGACCGGAGGTTCCAACATATATAGAGGAGAAATGGTCCAAGTCCTGCTGATATGGGACTCTCAACACACCCCCTCTAATGGAGGCTAGATGGGCACAAATTGTCCCAGAGCATTGAGAAAGGGCTAGATGGGTGAGGGGGCTAGACGAGTACAGATTTCCCAAGAGTGTCAAGTCCCTGGAGTGTTAGACCTTGGCTCTGATACCATGTGAGAATATGTGGAACCCCCAGGCTCTGATACCATGTGAGAATATGTGGAACCCCCAAATACTCTCCGAAAAAGCCCTTGAGGAGAGAATAAACGTTCCAACATATATAGAGGAGAAATGGTCCAAGTCTAGCCGATGTGGGACTCTTAACATTGTTCATTCTTATTGGTTTTTTATTGTTTCATTTGATGGTTGCATATAGGTTGCGAGTTTGGGTGCTTACTTATTCAAGAAAAACGTTATAACCATGTCAATAGCACCAAGAGACTCACATGAAGCACAAGTTCAGTTTGCTTTAGAAAGAGGTGTCCCTGCAATTATTGATGTTCTTGGTACTATAAAGCTCCCATTTCCTTCACGATCCTTTGACATGGCTCACTGTTCTCAGTGCTTGATCCCATGGACTCAAAATGGTATGCCACAAACATTATTTGTTGGATCGAATAATGTTATTCGTTTAGTATATTCTAGAAATACTTGTTTAATATAATGATCAGATGGAAAGTACATGATGGAAGTTGATCGAGTTTTAAGACCTGGTGGCTATTGGGTGCTTTCTGGCCCTCCTATTAATTGGAGGATGAATTACAAAGCATGGAAGCGTTCTGAAGAAGAACTGGAAGAGGATCAAAGGAAAATTGAGGAGATAGCTAAACTTCTTTGCTGGGAGAAGAAACACGAGAAAGGTGAAATGGCGGTTTGGAGGAAGAGAGTAAATAAACATTATTGTCAAGAAAGAGAATCTCGTGTTACCATGTGTAAACAAACAAATGTAGATGATATCTGGTATATAAACTGCTTCCTAATCCCCCTTCATCCCCCAGCTTTTCGATTTCTAATAGAACATGCTAGTACAACAAGACACCAAATATATCTAAATGTTGTAATAGACTGCTTTATAGGACCAACAAAATTTGTATTATATGTAAAAGTGTTACAATAAGTTGCTAGAACACTTTTGGACGCTCTAACAAGTTTTTTTAGGACACTTGAAATAAAGCGTTCTATTCGTCTTTTTTACATTATTTGAAAAAGTGTATTATAAAAACAAGTATCTTATGAAAATGTGTTCATAAGACACTTTATTTCAGAAGTGCCTTAAAAACTTGTTAGGAACTCGCGTTAGCTTATTGGAACACTTCTATTATGACACAATTATTTGGTCCTATAAACTGAAGTCCTATGAAGTAGTCTATTAGGATATTTAGACATATTTACCGTCCTATAAAATCGATTTTGTTGTAGTGCACACACACACAAAAAGATTGGTTTTATTACAAAACACTCGTCATGTAGGTACAAGAAGATGGAAACTTGTGTAACGCCTTACCCCAACACAAATGATACAACTGAGGTTGCTGGTGGTGAACTAAAACCATTCCCGCAAAGACTTAATGATGTTCCTCCAATAATTTCTAGTGGTTCCGTGAATGGAATCTCTGCTGAGTCATTTGAAGAGGACAACAAATTATGGCAAAAACATTTGAATGCTTATAAAAGGGTGAATAAAATTATTGGCACTGGACGTTATCGTAATATTATGGATATGAATGCTGGTCTTGGAAGTTTTGCTTCTGCACTTGAATCTCCCAAGTCTTGGGTTATGAATGTGATGCCAACTATAGCCAAGAAAGACACTCTTGGTGTGATTTATGAACGCGGTTTGATTGGCATCTATCATGATTGGTAAATCCTGAAACTTTTGCTCTTAATGTGGTCTATTCGATTTGAATTATTGTTCTTTTTTCAGGGGATCACTTTTTAAGGTTATTTTCAGTTTTGGGTTACTTTCAAAACTATATGTCCTCTTGAGTGCAGCGATGTTTGACAACTCGTCCCACATGGAAAGTGGGATCTGTGAGCTCCTTATAATAACTTTCAACATGATTTTAAGTTGAATTAGAAGTTGTTGGGTCAGCCCGCACCTTTGGGAATTGGGATGTTACAATTGGTATCAATGCCTATCCTTGTACTAACAGGATGGAGTTTCTGGGGGTGTTTGTAGCATCTTTGGCGAATTCCATATTGTTGATGAACAAGGAGGATGTTCAAGAATTTAAATAGGGGAGTTTGTGACAACTCGTCCCACATTGATAGAATGTGTCTTATGAGATCTTTATAAGCATCAAGTTGTGGGCTACCAGTAACTTCAACCATGGTTTTAACGATGGATTTAAGTTGAATCCAATGTTATTGGGTCAACCTGTTCAACCAGCCGCTTGATAGCATACCTTCTAGATTATATTTTTTGAATCTCCTTCTTTTGCCAATTCACAAATGAAGTCAAGTTTTCTTTTTCAAAATTTCAGGTGTGAAGCATTCTCCACGTACCCTAGGACATACGACCTGATTCATGCTCATGGTCTTTTTAGCTTGTACAAACACAAGTAAGTTGATTTTTCAGGTACCATTAGTTTTTTTTTTTGGAAGGGTGACTAATCCCGGAAAATTGCGACTGTCAGCCTGATAAACTCAATTGTCACAATTGTTGTGGATGCCTGGAATTGAACCCAAGGCAGATGGGATATTCCACCACATCCCCCTGGGTCTCAACCACTAGGCCACAACCCTTGTGGTTACCATTAGTTGTTCTTGTATTCTGTTCAAATCCTTTTATGACCGACATACACACAGGTGTGATTACGAAGACATTCTCTTAGAGATGGATAGAATTTTACGACCTGAAGGTACTGTTATAATCCGTGATCATGAGATTGAAGTGATTAAGGTAAAAAAAATTGTTTCTGGAATGATGTGGAACACAAAAATGGTGGATCATGAAGATGGCCCTCTTGTTCCTGAAAAGATACTATTTGTAGTCAAACAGTACTGGGTTGCAGGCGAAAACAACTTGACGTCTTTGAGATGAAAACAAACGATGTAAGATGTTTGCTTCTCTTAGGAGAACCTGAGAAACGTACAAATTTTCCCAAATTTTTGCTGTTATTTTATTAGGGACTTTTAGTTTTTAGGCTAATTATGAGTCCTAAAATCATCCTTTTTTATTGGTACACGCATCTGGTTTGTGTTATTATCTTCAGTTTGCGCTTTTCAAGACTTGCATTGCTGCATAAGTAAACAACAATTTTGGTATTGTTTATGATAACAGTTACGTTGAAATCCTTTAGAAAAGAGTTAGATATAGTTTTCTGTTTATATCATCTCCCATTACTACCCTCTGACAAGTGTATCTTTAAATCCATGATCTTCTGACAGGTTTTTAGGCACTTCTACGTATGAAAGTGACATTTTCAAACATGACCAGAAGTCATGGATTTAAAAAACCTGATAGAAGATCATTCAACCAAAGGACTCTCCACTACCCCCACCCCAAAAAGGGAAGGAAGAAAAAGAAATTCTAGCTTTTCAATTTTCTGTTCCTATGAATATTCCCTTAGGTAGAGGAAAGATTTGCATACATTCTACCCTCCGCAGAAGATCCTTACCTCTATGTGGGATTTAACCGCGTTCGTTTGTTTTTTTTATGAATATTCACATGTGATGTGATGCTGTGTTTTCAAGAAGGGAAACCTAAAAACAGCCTTCCTGTGAAATCAAACAACTTCTCATGTTGTATGATGTGAGATACTGAGGCTCATCGCTTCAAGTAAGTACTTTATTCCTTCCCTTTATATATAGGCTTAAAGGGGCAATTTGTTAGAAACTTAATGAGTTTAACGGGACCCTCAACTTATTCGGTCAGCTATATAGACTGTTTGGCAGTGGCTTAATAATATAGAAAGTGACTTGTTCAGTAGGCTTCAAGGGGGAGCTTTATGCATAAAGAAAGCCAAGTCTTTTTCAACCCTGTCATCCCAATTACAAAAACACGTTTCATCCATCTATAAAAAAATTCTCCCAAACAAAAATCTTCCCAACTGCACCGACCTATTAATCCACACAGACAACTTTATCCATACATGACTTAATGGAAAACCAACCAAACAGCCCCCTAGCTTTCCTCCAAAGGCTGCACCATAAACACCACCACTTAGTCCCCGTTGATCTGTCCCAATGGTAGAGATGTAGGTGCAATTCATATGAGTGAGGTCTCTAGTTCGAGTCTGGGCACCTCTTCTCTGCCAATGGGATGCATGTGTTGATTTACCTCCCCCAATAATAACCATGGGACCGGTGCCTCGAGTTGCTTCTACCCCAAACATCCCCTCTAATAAAACTTTTTTTGTGTGTTGCAGAGTTTTCATCTGATTATGATGAAACGAGAACAATTTATGCTAGCTTCCCCTAGTGAAACAATTGCCACAAACAGAATTGGGATGGGGGAAAAAGTCGTCCTGCTGCCGGTAAGTTTCTATGTATATGAGATTGTACCTGTACCTGTACCTGCTTCTATTTGTATGTTATTGCTTTCTCTTAACCAGCTTTTCAGATCTTTTTCTTTCATAGACTCTCTTATCTCATTTTTCACAAGCCAAAGGTCTTTAAGCAAACAACCGCTCTATAATTTAAGGTAGAGTCAGGTCTACATATATCTTACCCTCTCCAGACCCTCTTTTCAGGTGATAATACATATATAAATTGGGTTTGCTTGGTTATTCTTGTCTAGAAATTCATGTGAATAGCAAGATATGTTTGTATGTTGCACACCATGCGGGTCCTATTTATATGGTGCGTTAAGAGATGACAAATAACAGGTCCCACAAGACAAGCCGGACGGTCGAGGATGATATAAAGGAATGAAATATAGTTTTTAAGTTTCCTTAAATTATATTCTGCTGCTACATCTTTAGGTTTAATATACTTGGTTATTTGAATGATGAATGGCCATGTCTTTGATGTTTCTGATTTATCTACCCTTAGGGTTGGAGATATAATCTTACTGTCCTCAAACTCTACTTATGAGTGGGATTGAGATTATTTCTTAGGTTTATGTTGTTTAAATCATGAATCTAAAGCCACTAAGCTTGAATTTGATTACCAAAGGGCAATTGACCTAGCGGTATCTGGTAGCCCAACCTTCATATAGGTCAAGGATCCCAACTTCACCCAAGGTGTAGCAGAGTGTGTGTGTGTGAGTATTATATAGTCCAAAAAATGAAGTTTGAATTTGATTGCCAAAATGGCCATGGACAGAGTATTTCTTTTTGTCAACCAAAAGAGGAAGGTTTCGTTGCAACCTAAAGAAAGATGATGCCTTCAACTTAAAAATTTAATCTAAACTAAAACTTAGATGATACCTTCAAGTATATTAAATTTTTTATCCAAAGTAAAACTTAGAGTAAACTACAAATTTGGTCTATGTGGGTTGTCAAAAATAACATTTTTCGCCTCTCTAGTTTTAAAATTACAAAGATGGTCATCATGGTTTTGGTCTCTACCTTTAACGGCCGTTAATGACGGACATTTTTGTTCTTTTTTCGATTTTTTGTTGTCTTTTACTTAATAAAAATCACATAGATCAAATCCAAGCGTTTTTTGATTGGGTAAGAGAAAAAACGACGAAACGTCTCTAATTTAACAACATTTTTTAACGGCCCTTAGAGGGAGGGACCAAATCCAAGCGTTTTTGCAAACCACGATTATCATTTTATAATCTTGAAATTGCAGTGATGAAAAATGTCATTTTAGACAAACCGTAGGGACCAACTTTGTAGTTTGCTCTAAAACTTATAATTTATTTACAATAATAATTATCATATTGTTAGAATGATAAATCAAAGAAAAAGGAAATTGGACGGAGCGTTGCACCCCGACCTTAAAGACGAGACTTTGTACACATGTGATAGTGTTAGTGTTAAATTTTCCAAAAAGACGTAAATTTCTATTTTACATCTTGTAACTGTTGGCATTCCATGAATCAATCTTAAGCATTCATAATGAGCTTTACAAAGTTTCCTTTTAATTAGATTAAAATGAGCATGAAGTCACGTTTACCATATGGATTTTGAACTTTAGAAACATATAACGAGAAGCATGCTATGTGTCCTCTGAACGCTCCTAAATTATGGACTTTCATCCATCATAGTGGCTTTTTCTGATATCATATATTTTCATATCTCAATTTCCATATTTGATTTTGTTTGGTTTATATCTATTGTTTGTTGATGCAAAACGATTGTCAATACCGAAACATATTATCATAAACAGTCAATCCTAAAAATAAAATTTTGATTCATACTTTTTGTTTCAAGATCCAATCATGTTCTTGAAATACCGTATTCCTGAGTCTGGGCATTTTTTGCAACCTTTTGAAATACAAATAAAAAGGTTGAAGCATAACTCTAGGGTTTTCTTGTGACACACAAAATATGTATTCTTTATGATGAGATGAGAAGAATGAAAACTTAAAAGGTTTGAAATAATTTCCTTAGCAAACCCATTTTTGATGTTTCAATGATATGTTTTTTGGGTTGTAAAATGTGAAACAAAAACCTGTAATCACTTATCATTTGATTATAATTATCAATTCCAATAAAAGTCCAGAATTTATGTATCTCAAAGCCATTACTTTTAAATACGGTTAGTAATGTTCGGAGATAACATATTTGCAAATAACGTCATTTTTCTTTTTCTTTCAGACATTCTTTTCAATTTTCCTTTTCCAATCTATCTATAGTTATACTGCCTTCTCTTTGTTTCTTTCTTAGGTTTTATACCTTCTATTTCAAACGACATATTGCAAATATAGTTGAAAATAATGGCTCCGTCTTGTTGTGGTTGTTAATTTTTTTATAATATTATTAATTAACTAAATGACAATTTTATTCTTATAATGAAGAGAGTAATTAAGTTTTTCATCTTATAATTAAAGATATAATTAACACCTATTTTTCAAAAAAAAAAAGAAAAACACTTATTTTAAAACAAAATAAAATAGAAATATGAAGAATTATTTGAAGAAGGACAAAAGAAATAGTTAAAACCGGATCCATTAAATTTAAAAGAGCATAACATTATTCTATTATTTATTTTGAGAAATAAAACTTGAATCTGGAATACAACGGCCACGATGATATGTTTGGACATCCTAGCTCCGGCCTATGAAACAGGGAATATTTTCTCTCCAAAACCCTAATTCTTTAGTTCTTAAAACCCTAAACAACACAAAACCTTGATCCCCTCTCCCCCCTTTATACTCACAGAGAGCAAGTAGAAATTGGGTTTTTGATCAAGCCACTTTAGGGTTTTTAAAATGGTGGCTGATAAGGGTAAGAAGCCCAAGGTCGGAGTGAAAATCGAGGAGGAGGGCGCTGAGCAAATTGATGGGGAGCTTGTTCTATCTATTGAAAAGTTGCAGGAGGTCCAAGATGAGCTCGAAAAGGTACTCTTTATTACAATGATCATCCATTAGATTTGTCCAATTCAATTAATATGTAAGAAATCCGCTATTCTACATGAAACTGCTGCGATTACTTATGGAAACCTCATGATCATTGTTGTTCGTGCTCCTTTTGCGAACCTTTAGTGTTAATATATATACATTACAATCGAATTTGAATTTTGATGTTTATTTTGTGTTTTGGTTTTGCGAATTATGTTCAGAAATCTTCCATGATCGAGAAAATTTTACTGCAGCAAACGTAATGCAACTTATATTAATTTGAGGCTTTGCTATTTGATGAATCTTTTCTTTTTGCTAAAAAAAGTGGGTTTTGTTTTGGATTTCTTATCCTATAAGAATGTATAAAGGCATTACAGTGTGGGTTTGTGGTTTGTGCGCTTATGATTCAAGTGTATTAGGAAAGATCATTTATGAGTTTGGTTTGTTTATCGTGTTATATATAACCAAACCAGACAAACCAGCCTGTCTAATACGCAACCCTGACCTCTACCCAAAAAGAGTAAGACCCTATTTTTGATGATCTTTGTAGAACCCATATTGCTCTGCATGCTTTAACTAAAGCTCTATTGTTATGTCTAATGATGTATAGTTTGTTTTGTATTTGGATCATTGTATTTGCCACACATTATCCCCGCTCTATCTTTATACCAAACCAAACTGACCCGGTAAATTCCACTTAAAAGTAGGATCCGACTCTGGTTTACGGAGACCTGATAAACTACACCTAACTGTAGAGTGGCTGTTTTACTGAAGATCCCAGCTTGTGCAAGAGTGTGTGCAAATAGATAGAATGGAGAAAGACTAGCAATTGGGAGAAAATCTGGGAATAATTGTGTTTTTTAGCTGGGTTCTAGATGTGTTAATCATACATTGCAATTTGGTGTTATAACAGCAATTTAAGCCATTAGGGTTAGTGGGTATATAATTCTTATCTTTTATTTTGGCTCCAGATTAACGAGGAGGCAAGTGATAAAGTCTTGGAAGTGGAGCAGAAATATAATGTGGTCCGGAAGCCAGTGTACGATAAGCGGAGTGAAATAATAAAATCAATTCCTGATTTCTGGCTGACTGCTGTGAGTTATTCATTCTGAATAGTGACTTGACTAGCGCAGATTTTTTTTTCGATTCATAGTTCGCAGGTTGGCTTTCGTTCTATCAAATCTAATGGTGTACTTGTTCATGCAGTTTCTGAGTCACCCTGCTCTATCTGATCTTCTATTTGAAGAAGACCAAAAGGTTCGTTCTTTCACATGAAACAAGATTTCAAGTTAATATGTGTCGTGATGTACATCTTTGTTTGCTACTAGATATTCAAGCATCTAACCTCTCTTGAAGTCGAAGATTTTAAAGATGTGAAGTCGGGTTACTCAATCACGTTTGTAAGTAATTCTTTTCTCTTTAAGGACAATACATCAAGATTAATTGCGTTTCATCTTGATTACTTCCATGCCTTTTGTGGAGAGATGTGTGATTTATTATTTGTTTCTTCTCACTTTACACTAGCCAGGGGTATGCATGGAAACAACCGCGCTACTTCTTAGGGTAGAGGTTAGGTCTGTATATATCTTACCCCCCAAAGCACCTGTGGGTGGGATATACTAGGATCTTTTGGCTTCTATGATCTTGCTATTGCTTACTTGTATCTAACTTTTCAAATCTCAGTTTAATTGTTGTTCTTTTTTTCACTTTCACACACACCAGCCTAGGATTTTCACGGAAACAACTTTTCTACTCATTTAGTGTGGTACAAAAATTTATACGGTTTCACTCTTCTTTTAGCACTTCAGTCCAAACCCTTACTTTGAGGATACAAAACTCATAAAAACGATGACCTTTCTTGATGATGGAACGACAAAAATTACCGCCACACCGATCAAGTGGAAAGAGGGCATGGTAAGATCTTGTTACTCGTATAATTATCAATATGTTTTTTTGTAGTATTCTAATCTTGGGTCATTACGCACTTTTATTGAAGGGCCTTCCAAATGGAGTTGCACATGAGAAGAATGGAAAGAAGCGGTCCCACGAGGAAGACAGGTTATTAACTTATTTACCTCTTTCTATGTGATTTTCCCTATTCTTGATGTCAGTAAGTTTAATTGTTGTCACCATCAGTTGGCGGTGCCGATTTTTATTTGAAAAATGTCAAAGAAGTACAAAATTACCTACTTCGAGGGGTGGGTTCTCTCCCAAGATGCTCAATTCAATATTCCGTAACTACAATCATATCAAGCATGCCATATATTCTTTATTGATCTCTTATATATAGAGCTAATTAGTTATGGTAATAATATAATTGCTACTTCCCCCTAATATGCTTACCATATAAAGAATATGGTGTGTGTGTGTGTGTATATATATATATATATATATTATGGTAATCAAATGAGAACCACAAAAAGGTTGCAAACCCGTGAGAATCGATATAAAAATATATGTTTACATGATTCTTCTTTATCAAAGGTTATGATTTAAGATATTCTTCTACATATGTTTATGTTCACATTGTAAAACAAAAAATACATGTAAAAGGTTTCATATTTTGAAACAAGTACATGTGAAACCATCACATTATGAAACAAATATATGTGAATCAATACATTAAATCCTAGCCTTTTGATGAAAAAGATCATATTTTTAGATTGGTTCTCACGGGTTTATAACCTTCTTATGGTTCTTATTTGATTTGCCTCCTCCCCTATATATAGGTGCATAATCATTTAGGAACTCAATAAATTGTAAAGCTTAGAAACCAGTTTTCATGTGTTGTTTTGTCATTTGTGCGTGGAAAAAGAACAGTCGTGAACGTTTCACATATGAAACAACCCTGTATAATAATTGATCATTATTTCTTCATTGTGTGATCTTCTCATGCTTCAGTGTCTTGATGTGTATATTTTCTTCGTCTTTTTTTTATGCAGCTTCTTTAGCTGGTTTAGTGAAACCCAAAGCAAAGATGATGTTGAAGACGTTCACGATAGTGTATGTTCACAATATCTTTTCATTACATGAAAAAACCAAGAGACCAACATTTAGGGTGCATTTGGTATCCAGATAAGACAGAACATGACAAAATAGATTTTCAGTGTTTGGTAAGATAAAAGATGTTCTGGAAATGACAGAACAAATAAAATGACTAATTTACCCCTAGTGAGTTGTTTTTATCTTATATATATATATATATATTGATTAAATTATGTAATTTATTAAATTATAATAAAATATATATTTTTATAATAAAATATATTATTAGAAAGAGAGTGGGACAAAAATCATCAATATAGGTGTAACAAAAATGAGGGAGACAAGACAAAGATGGGTAAATTACTAAATTAACCATGTTAAGTTAAAACGCTAAAACCATCTAAAATTCTTTCACCTACCTAACTTTTGTCCGTCCAGTCCTGTCTGCGTGCCAAATGCACACACGAAGAAACCACCATTTAGGGTTTGCTTGAATTGTACCTTTCTTGATTTTTTTGATACTCACTCATTATGAATTTTGCAGATTGCCGAATTGATTAAAGAGGATTTATGGGTTAATCCTCTTACGTATTTCAACAATGTAATCTTTTGATTTTTTATTTTATTGACGTTTGACGTGTAATATTCATCTCGCTCGTGATTGATGAAGTTTCTTTGTACTGATTGCTGCAAAATTTCTTTGTTAAAAGGATGCCGATGAAGAGGATTTTGGTGACGAAGATGATGAGGAGGTGGATAACTATCAGAATGCTGAATTTGCAACGCTTTTCATTTTGTTATCGTGTTTTTCGGGTTTGTGGGCATCGATCTGATCTAATTTGGTTGTTTTTGCATGCAGGATATTGGCACAGACGACTCTGAAGAGAACTGACTGAATGTTTTGGTAAAGTTTTCGGCTCTAGGTCGATAACGGTAGGTTTATAGTTAAATTTTGGCGTTTGGTGTTCTGAAAATGTAGCTGGTTCGGTTTTTAATGGATCGAAATTTCTTGAATCTGAATCTTGTTACATTTTGAATGGATGACAAACCCTAAGTGATAGATTTGAAGTATATCATAATCATATTTTCATTGAGCGAGAAAAGGCCGGGGCTTTGGGTTGAAATAAAAGGCTTGAATTTGATTTTGACGTAATAATAAATAAATGGGATAAAATTATCGAATTCTTTTTGGTAAATTCTGTGTTTTGTGATGAAAGCATTGCATTTATATTATTTTTGTTAATATCATACAATTATTTTTCATTCAATGGAAGGCTAAAAAATTAGTGTACGTTATTTACTTGGTTGTGAAACGCATGGTTTAAACAAGCCTCCCTAAAGACAAGTTAAGTACCTGTTTACCAAATAATTTATCTGGTAGAATTCAACATGATCACTTACTTATCGGGTAAGATTTTAGTCCATTAAAACGGTATCTTATACAACAATTTACATGGTAAACGTTAACTGTTGTAAGAGTCATCGTTCTCACTTACCAGGTAAGAGTCGGTTTTTGTCTTCGCTCTTACCGGGTAAGATCCTTTCCATATTCATTCTGTAAGCTAACGCGACTTGATAAGGGCTTACCAAGATAATTGTTTGTAAACGACTCCTTAGAATCGTTTCGAAGATCGCTAGTAGGATTGTACAAATGAAATTAGGACAAGTCTTCGATAGGGGTGGGAAATGTATCAGAGTTAGGTGATCTACGACATTTATATATACGCCTAATCAATTGAGAACTAGATAGTTTGTTTTAATTATGAGGTCCAATATAAGTCAATCATTTTAGAGAATTAATGTTATTTACTAAAATAAAACAATAAATTGTGTTGATTATTCAATTTATTTTAATTAGTTTAATATATGTATATATGTATACACACACACACATAGAGAGAGAGAGAGAGAGACCAAATCCGATGGCCTTCTTTGGCACCCACCACCACTTCGTGACCTCCTTCAGTCATATTGTTTGACTAAGACGTCGTCTCTGATGATCGACCATTAAACACTCCCCTGTGACAATGGTATCACAATGTTACTGCAATTGATATCACAATGATCACAAAGTTTACTTGGTATGTTTTGGGTATCACATTGCGTATTTTGATTTATTTTGAGTATCACATGGTGTTCATCGGAGGTATGAGAGAGAGAGAGAGGAGAGATACAAAAAATTAAAATAACTAAAATGCCCTTTAATTATAATTTTAAGTCAAATTACCAAAAAATTTAGTTTTCTAATTTATCCATTGATTTGTAATTGAGAGTAAATCTTACAGTTATCACAAACTAATCAATTCTCTCTTGAATGGACCCATATATATATAAATTGACTAGTATATTATATATATATATATATATATAATAATAATTTATTGAAGTTGTATATATCAGTGATGGGTTAGCGGGGTGGATTGGGTTAGGTTGACTAGTATGTTATGTAATTGGGTGGTAAGCGTTTTTGGGTTGGGGGGTTAAAAGGTTTGACGTTTTTTTGTGTACCCCTGGTTTGTCCTTGACCCAACTCCCTATTTATCCCCTTTGACTATGATGTCCTGTTTGATCCTAACGGTTTTGGAGGACGTGATCTCCATCGAGTCTAGGGGGCTTGTTAGTTGTCTAATCAACAAAATAACATATATGCATAAATTAAAGTCATATTAGAGGTAAGTAGTTTATTTTTAATATGCTCAGATATAGAATTCAACCTGTCTTCGCTGAGGCAAGGTCTGTTAAAGACAAGTACCCATTTTCATTTTAAATTTTATAAGTATATAACAATTACATATGGTAAATACTAATATATACTTGTCATTTTAATAGAGACTAAAATAGTTAATCTTATCAAAAATTGAGAATACCAATATTATTCATTCAATTTTTTAAGAGTTGTATTTTTGTTTCTTTATTTTTATCAATTAACCATTTTATTTTTTACAAATGGTAAACAATAATAATAATAATTTATTATATTAATAAATAAAATAAAAAAGTATCCTGAAGTTGACTACTCTTTCCCCTTTGGGATGGAAAATGATTAGATGATCTTATCCATAATAAAATTCCACAAGGGCCACTCATAAGCTGCCATGTAAGCATGCGTGATATCATTCTAACACTATTTGCAATATCATCCCCATTTCTTCCATTATTTACAAAAAGCCCCCTCCAAGAAAGATGACGCACAACATGACCAATCGCAGTGTTTTGGAAGGAATCAAGATGCTTCTTTTGAATTGTATGGAACATTTTCTTTTAAAATAGAAAAAAAATGGTATTTTGCTTCGATGTGTTAATATCTCATAATATGAACTTAGAATCTTAGAAAAAAAATTCTAAGTTCATATCATGAGATATAAATGATATTTTTATTTTTTTTCACCAAAAATTCTGAATAAGTTTTTATAATCACGATGATAATATTTTAATAATATAATTAATATTGAAATAGAAAATCTATTAACTTTTTTTATATGTAGTAGATAAATTTAGTGTATTATTACACCACAACCATTAATTTGTAGTCTTTGTCAAAATGCTTCTTTTAAGAACAAATGTTAAAAGGCTTTTCATGTTAGTAATCAAATTGACTACATTCATTTTATATATAATAATAATAATAATAAATGAACTTTCATCATTTTCATATATATCTCAATATATTGATTGAGTTGTATTGGTTGTACAAATGTAATGTATTGCGTTTAAAACGTACAATATATATATATATATATATATATATATAAGTAAGCTTTCTACTAAAACAAATAATTTGCAATAAACAACTAAAACAAATAATTTGCAATAAACAACGGATATATTTTAAATTTGGTCATTGGATTTTAAAAATCATTTCTGAAACTATAAAAACATTCAAGTTTTAGAAATTAATTGTATTAAAAGAAAGGATTTAATCTCAATCACGAGGGATTTTAGTAATAATATTTATTTTTTCAAATAATGATCATTGATAGGTAATGTAAATAAGTAAAAATTAGATAACTTTTAGCATCACATTGTTTCAAAATTAAAAAATATATATATATTTTTCACAGACACAATGATACTAGCATCAGAACATAGAGTGTCATTTATTGCACTTTCTAAACCACAGTCTCAATTATGTACATCTATAGGATTCAAGTCTACTATCATATATCATTGAATCAGATAAAAATCAACTTAATTGTGTGGCATATAACGAAACATCATAATACGTCTAAAACTAAAATCATGAAACCTTATACTAGTGACAAGAAAAGATTAGCAGGTGTGGCTACTATACTCCCTCGGGGCCCCTCTTAATTTTGTTATTAATTAATATGCACTTTAACTACAAAAACATCAATTGAGGTTACACGTATATTATATCGGACCAAGATCACATATGATTGATGTCTGTTTTATGGATAACATATAAAAAATAAAAATCAACATGCTTAATGGAAACACACATCTTTGGCAGGATAAACATAAATAAATTAGATAATATTTTTGTAAGTAAACCAATAAAAATCTATGATGGACCGATAGACGTTTGCGACAACATCAAGGGTGTGGGCCAGCGGGTGTTGACGATAGAATCAAGGATGAGGTAGCGGCCTTTGATGGCAGAGGCAACATGGGGTTGCCGAGAGAGCATAGGGAGGCAATGATAGTCGTTGACGTTCCTAATTATGGCAGCGAGGAGAACAAGATTAGTTGTAACTGTATCAAAATAAATTATTATTATGTTTTAATTCAATCTTAAACGGTGTAATTTATATGTACTAATAATATATCTTAATTTTCATTAATTAATAATAATCTTTTATATTTCATTAGTTTAGAGTGTTATAATTTAATTTTCACTCGTTTACTTTCTTACATATACATTATTTGCTATTAACGTATACAAAACTTACATTTTTAGAAAATATATTTGACTACTTTAAATAATAAAAACATGACATGAGAAAAAATAAAATATGATAAATACACAAAAAAAAAAAAAAACAATGTAATTTAAACATCACCATTAAACACCAAAGTTTTATTACACATAATGAAATAATACAATATCGCTAAAGTGAAATAAAATAATGTTGTTTGACGATGCAAAAACAAAACAAAGTTGATGTGATGTGATGTGAAAGTGAAACAATAAAGTCTACTTTCATATCGTAAAACAACATAATTCATCAATGTTAAACAATAAATTATTGTTTCACAATTTAAAAATAAAACTAAACAAAAGTTGGATGTGAGACAACAAAATGTTTCACATGGACATGGTGAAACAATGTAGTGTTGTTTCACATGGTGATCAATGTAGTGTTGTTTCACATGGTGTACAATGTAGTGTTGTTTCACATGATGAAACAATATGTTGTTTTATTATGTGAAAAGAAACAAAAAAAAGGTGAAATATGATGTGAAATACTAAAGTGTTGTTTCACAAGGTGAAATAACATACGAGCTAAATCATTTTTATTTTTTATGTAAAAAATTGCAATTATTAAAAAAAATTGACACCTGTGTAAAATTAAAGAAGATAAAACATTTGTTTTTATATGAAATTTTCGATTAAAATGTTTATTGTAATAATGTATTTTTAATTTAAACTTTTCCTGTAATTAATATAATTTTGATAGTCGTCATTGCTAACTATGGATTAGATGTCAAATGCCTAGAATGCCTCCTTCAACTTGTCATTATTTCAAGTTTCAAAAATATTACAAAAAACATCATTAACTTTTATAGCCGTAGATTAAATTATTGATTAATAATTAAGATCGTTTGTCACGGTTTCCAATTTTTTTATTCTCACATGATTTAACTCATTATATATATATATATATATATATATATATATATATATATATAG